TTTTATCAAAATTTTTTTATTAAATTCTTTCTCATCTAACTTAAAAAGTATACTTTATATTTTATTTTATTATGTAATAATAACCATTACTTTAGGAATGGATTATGGCAACCAAACAAATTATTGAAATCACATAAAAATTTTTTTATAGTAAACAATTAATTATGATATTTAAAAATATTAATGTGTAAATTAATTTTAATATTTTAAATAATAATTTTTAATTATTTTATTATCTATATTAATTAATAATTATAATTATTAATTAAACTAAATAATATTTGAAAAATAAAATTTAAAAGTTGATGTCACCCCGGTAAAATTTATTGGGTGGCAAAAACATTCCCAAGGACTCCCTGTTGGATCTCAGTTGACAGTTGTACCTGGGATTTTTGACAGATGAGCTGTTAAGTACACGCCGGCGCCATGTTGGAAAAGTTGGTCTACGTGGGTTCTCGTGGCACCTACAGTGGTTTATAACATTTTAAAAAATGATTTAAATTAACTATCTAAATAATTTAATGATTATTTCTTTATATTAGAAGTAAAATATCTTGAATTCAAATCGTATAGTATACAGGTAGAGTGAAATAAGAGATTAAAAATAGTTACCTCTCATTGTGCAACCAAGATAAAAAAAAATTGATTTAGTGGTTATCTTGTTTTATTAGAAGTAAGATATCATAAATTCAAGTCATATAATATGCGGATGGGGTGAAATAAGAAATTAGAGATAATTACCTCTCATTGTGCAATCAAGATAAAAAAAATGATTTAGGAATAATTTTTTTATATTTTTTAATATAATTTTATGTATTATTTAAATAATTAATCTTATTTATTTAAATTTATGATATTAAATATATTTACTTATTTAATAATATAAAAAAATTATATAAAAAATAATAATTCTGTGTACTGCTTACACAATCTTTCGAGTTGGTTTTTATTTTCTTTTTTCTTTTTTTATTTAAGGTTGCATGGGAGGATTTCCCGGGGTAGGAGGAGAGGAGTGGGAATTAACATACCTTGAACTTTAAATTAAAGAGTTTTCAAACCTGAATTTTAATTTATTTTCATAAAAATATACATAATATAAAAATTAATATTAATTCTAATATTAACGTTAAA